AGGAATGCAGCTGTAAAATCTTTTGTCTGCTCCTTTGGGCTGTGTCAAGCACAGTAGGTGCATGGCAACTGCTGGAATGAGTCCAAACTCTAGTCATCCGAAAGAAGCACCGGTGAGAGGAACTGGAAGGGCTTTCATCAATTGGGCTTTTTATTTAACAGTCATAAGAAGGAATGAGTTTGCAACCACAGTCATAGAGAAAATTTAGTTAGAATTGAGATCACGATTATAAAGAGACATTATCAACATGTCGTGTTTTGACCGTAACCTTTTGTGCCTGGCACAGGAAAGGAAAGCTTCCGTGAGCATGGCCACAGGGCTCTGCTCATCTGGCTGCATGGGACCCTGATGACACAGGACACGCCGGTCAAGCACCTGTATGAAGAGCTCGTACGTGCAGGTTTCCCAGAACTAGCTGGTGAGTTAGTTTTTGACAAACAGAAACTCCTGCTCCCTTAAAATGTTAGGGGACAGTCAACAGAAGTAATACTACCTGAGTAGCAGCAGTCCCAACTTGGTGTTACCTGTGACTCATTCAGAATATGCAACTTCTCCTTTGGTGAGCGACTCAATCAATACTAGTTCCGTTTTTTAGCCCTATGGTTCTCGGTGTCATCCCCTACGAGGCATTTGAAAAAGTATAGGAATATTTTTGTTTGTCTGTGTGGTTGGGGGAGGGAGGATAGGGAAGATGGGAGGGGCACAGGAATGTTGAATCACGTCATAAGGTTATAGGATAGTTCTCCACAACTAAGAATCATTGTGCTCCAAATGCCATTTTGCCCATGCTGGGAAATTCTGCAAGTTAGTGTATTTGAAAATGTTATCTCTAGGTTGAGAGAAAAGAGCAGACAGGCTATTACTTTGCCAGCTGAGGTTACTGCTAAAAATCGGTCTTCCATAGATCATATTGTCAGGGAAAATGCTTTGAAAATTTATCAATTAATTAGGTGTAACTTGCGTGTAATAAAAACCATTCAAGCAAAATATAGAAACACCTGCCATTATTTTTATGATGCTGCTTTACCTGAAGCTGAGATCATAAATGCATGAATCAGATCACTGATCCAATATTTAGTTTCAAGCAGGAATAGTACAGGGGTGACGCCTACCTTCTGTGACATTATCCTTGTAGCACTGGGGGTGTTCCCTCAACTTTATTCATTCCTGTGAAAGCTTATCCCAGGGGAGACTAGAGGCAGTCCTCTGAAGTGGAGAAGGGCATGTGCTCTGGGCTTCTATCTGAACTCCAGTGCTGATAGGCTGTGTGATCTTGAGAAGTTCTATGACCTCATTGTACCAGTGTTCTCATTCATTAACTAGAAAAGTGTCTATGTCAAAGGGCTGTCGTGGGATTGAGTGAGTAATAGTGCCTGGCACATAGCAAGTGCTTAATAAATATTAGCTATTAATAATAAATGTTATGCTGTTTTTTTCTAGAAAAGATCCGTCAATTCAAAAGCGAAACTGACTCAAAACCCAAGAAATGTGCAATTTCATAAATGCCTAGAGAGATTGTATTTAAATGATTTGCCACTCAGCATTCAGTCCTTTTAAATTCATTTCTTTAATGCTGTAAAGTTCCTCTAGCAGTAGGATTGATTTTCATCTGTGAAGATGGTTCTGACAGGATCCTCTAACATGAAAAATGGTATTATACTTTCCAATCACTGAAAAGTCCAAAAATTTTTTTAGTTTTTTCTTAAGGCAAATTCTGTATGATTTTCCGATTCTTGTCATTTGATGCAACATATGTGATAGCATAATCTAGGATTTTGTCTATCATGCTTTAGCAAAATAGATGGTGGGGACAGCATCATGGCATATGGGAAAACGAAGTGTGGTAGGATAGACATGGTTTTGGATCATGATTTTTGCCACTTATTAGTTATGGGCATTCAAATTCTGATCTTTAAGTTTCCTGCTCTATAAAATGGAAGACATGTCTACCTCTTCCATAATATTTTGGTGAGGATGAAAGGAGAATGCCTGTGAAATGCATAACATCATGCCCACAGTATTGAAATCATTAACTTTTATTTCTCCTGTTAAGAGAAACGATTTGGAAATTTATAGCCACTACTGGCTTTAAATAACGCATATATGTAATATATCACTTAGAAAAGACTAGAAGTATATATACCAATATTTTTTTTATCTCTTTGTGATTTAGTTATAGGTGATTTGAATTTTCTTTGTGCTTTTTGGTTTCCAATTTTTTTCACAATAAACCTGTATTATTTTTGTAATCTGATAAAGTTATTAAATAAATATGAAATCAAGTATCAATTTATATCAGCTTATTACACCTATTCACATAGTGAATTTAAGGCTCTCCATTCTCAAATTCTGACTCTAGGTCTATAAGGCCAAAAATAAAATCATGAGCAATTTCAATCCAGTTAGTCTATCATGAATTTATAGTTCAACATCTTGAGCCCACTTAATGTGAATGTTTACAACAGGTAATATGTTCACATGCGTCCCAAAGTTTTTAACAAAGATATTCAGTGAAAAGTCTTGTCCCCATTTGTTCTTCAGTCTGGCCAGTTTCCACTGACCTTGCTACTCTTTTTCTCCCGCAGCCCCCCCCAAATCTGGGTCACTTCCTTATATAAAAATAAATATGAACACATATTAAAGTGTTTTAATTGTTGAATTTAACTTAGACTAACACTAATTACTTGATGCTTTAGACAATTTCCAGAGCTTAAGACTTAAAAAGAAACATAATATTACAGTATTCATAATATTCACTTGAGTTTATCCACGTGGTTATGGCTTGCATACTGAATACTGTCATTAATCTAGGTTCTTCAAAGAGCAAAGCCTGAGGCCAAAGTGTATGTGCCACTGCCTTTTTTAGGAGCACAAATCCAAGGAAGCGGGAGGAAAAGGGGAGTGATATGGGAAAGAGGAGTCAAGACTAGGGTGAATTACCAAATTGGCCACCGCTTGGCGTCAAGCACAACTGATTGACCTCGAGGGTACTCTCTTCTGAGAGATGAGAGAGGGGGTAGTTAATACATCTCAGGACGATTCATACGGGGGAGAAGGGAGGAACTGATCTGTTTACAAGGAAGTGTTCATTCTGGGCGGCATGTGAATGAACTCCAAGTGGGGCCTGCTGGTCTCTCCTGACTTGACTGGGAGTAGAGGGAAGACCTGGGGAAAATGCCCTCTGTACAGGTGGATGACGACATGCTGTTTGCTTGTGCTTGTTGAAACCCATGAGGAGCTGTTTGCCACAGTGGTAGCTGGACCAGGACCCAGAATGAGTGTTGCATAAGAAGGACCTAATACTCTTTTAAGACATGATGAGATACTTCCAACAATTCAGAAAAGCCTTGGTTTCCCACTTTAGAAAATGGGTTATTTACTTATCTCACATTTATTCTCTGATGTCCTGTTAACAGTGTAAGGCAATAAGAAAAACTATTTCCTATAATAAAGTTAGAGTATAGGGCTAGATCATGTTCAAATTGGAAGAGCCTTCGGATTATTAAATCTATCTTTACTTAATGATATAAAATTGAGGTCCTAGACAGATTCTTCAGAATGTTTTTATGTAACCCACAAGTAATTTGGGAAATAGGTAGGATGGGTAGATCTCATAGTTTCACAGATGAGAATCCTGAGATTCATCTAAATTGTCTAGCCCAAGGTAACCCAGTCAGTCAGATATAGAACCCATTAGAGGCCTGGTCTTGTTCTCTTGGATCAGTTTTGCCCGGATGGTTTCTTCCAAATGGACATTGAAAAGTCTCTACCCAGGCTTGGAGGGTCTGCTGAGTTGCCTAGGCCACAGGACACTGGATGTTCAGAATAAACAATGTGGGTTCCACATTAGTTTCAAAAAGGGCAGGGAAGAATGTCAGAAATAGGATCATTCTCATAGGAAATTTCTCTTTGATGTTTCTGTAATTGTTTTTGTGCTAGTAAAAAAATTTTTCCCTTTTAACATTATCAATTATTTATAAGTATTGTCATTTCTCCCTTTTTAATTCTTAGAGTACTAGAAAAATGAAGACAAATATACTGTAGTCACAAAAAATATCAATATTACTTGTGGTGTTTATCTTTTTAACTTAAAAACATCTTAGTTTCTATTAGTTTTAATAGTTTTAAAAATAAACTCTCATAAAGTTTACTCGGTAACATTGGAAATGATTTAGCCTTTTGGAATAATGTAGAGAAAACAGGATTTATATACTTTGATGATATAATCAGCCATAGGCTGAATCTATTAAAAAAAGAGTCCAGTATCTTTTTTAATTTAAAAAAGTTTTACTTAATTACTTAAATTAAAAAATAACATTAAAATAATCCTACATATAGTTACAAAGGATGGTATGGCTTGAAAAAGTCTTTTGTAATTTTGAAAAGATGAACATGATATATCCATTATGTTCTAAAAATATGGAAAATTTAAAAACTAAAGACTTCTAATCCTTGGTAAAACCAGAGGAATTAAAAGATCTTCATATGAATGTATTCATTCTAGTCAACCACTTTTATAGAATGAATGCTTGTGAGAGACGGAGTGTGAGCTGATCTGGTCCCGAGAGATCTGGAAGCCGAGGTAGTACTTTCAGGATGAATGGTCCGGGGATATCTGGCTGCAGCAGCTTGAGGAATGGTTTGCTGAAAAGATAAAAATCTGCTTTAATAATCCCATCAAATTACACATATTAAATATCATTTCATCATCTATAATTTAACTCAACAAACATTCACTAAGCATCAGTGGATACAAACAATGAATTGGGTGAAGCAGCCATTAAAACAAACAAAATGTGGTCCTTTTCTGTAAGGAGCTCATACCCAGTTAGACCGATGTACTCAATACCCACAATTTATACCAAAGATGTCTTCCAGAGGAGCACAAAAAGAACCACGAGAGTATTCATTCCTCAAGGAGGACGTGAGTGGATGGAGTCTTGTATACAGAAAGGGACTTTGGTGTCTGGAAGAAGGGTCTGCCCCAACCCTCCCCTCCTTCCTGGCTGTTAATATGTGGAGTCTAATCCTGGGGAATATGTGAGAAGCCCTGAAGAGCCCAGTCTGGTCCTTGCTTCAAACCAGAGTAAAGCAGGTCTCTCATATTTCACCTGGTTCACCTGGGAGCTGACTAAACTTTTTACAGTCACACATGGTCCCTTAATATGGACCATAACTTTCTAAACAGAGAAACAACTAGACGCCGATGACACGTGTTGAGGGGCAGACATGAGTGTTAATTCTGAATTCAGAGGAACATCTTAGACATGAGCACTGAAGCTTTAAAGTCAGGGCACATCTGCCTTCATCTGTACATGTAATATGTGTAAGTTCACATTATGTACATAAGTGCATATTACATATCTATATATGTGTACAAGTATAAGGCTTTCCTGTACTATACATGTTACAGCTTCTTAGTTGGCAGCAACAGGATTTGTTATCTAGGCAAGTTCTCAGTCCTTGTCACTGACTAGCACATGTAGATTCCGATTAGGGTCTTCCACTTAGAAGAGTCAACTTTAAGATATTTCAAGTATTATTCCTGAACTCCAATTGTACGCATGCATGGCTTTTCATGCCTTCTAACCAGCACTATCATTCAAACAAAACAAATATACTGAAAATCTTAGAATCATACCAGTCCTGTGTAAGGGCCAAATAATTCAGTAAGTAATACAAACATGTGCTGTTTGTCAGAAAATGTCCTTACAGAGAATACCAAAGTTTGTCAAGGAAACCCACTGAGATCCAGGCTACCTAGGACCTGGTGGCAAATGAACATTGCAGAGCTTCTGCCATCAGAAGATAAGAAATACTGTTTAGTAATGGTATGTATGGTGTCTGCATAGCCAGAAGTGTTCCCACTGGCTAAAGCAGATGCTCAAACTGTGATCAAAGCCTCACTGAATTATATCATCCCCATATTCCTGTGGTTTTCTTCTTAGCTCTCCTTGATTTCCAGGTCTCCCAGTTCAGAGCAGTTGTGTATTTCTGAAACTGTGAATAGGAGTCCCTGGGTAGAAGTAATGGGACTTCGATTTCTCCAGTCCAAATCTGAGTTGACATTTTTGTGCAAATTCATTTCTTTTAGATATGTCCTCTTATTGTCCAGTATGAGTTATACAATGAATTACATAAATCTGTTTGGGAAATTAAAATGACTCTAATAAATCAGTGGTGAGTTTAAAAAAAAAATACTTGAAGTAAAATTATATATATTCGACCACAACATTCACTATGTATTTCAAAAGCTCTATCATACAGCTATGCAGGTCTTCGTTTCAAATTCTGCTTTAAGAATAAGAGCTCTTCTTTAAAGAAATGGAAAAATAATCTCCTTAAAGTGTTTTATATATTTCTTTGTACATAAATAACTGGGTAATTACTACAAATGGGAGATCATCTTGTAACTAGTCTGAAATTTTAGTTGCTAACCACCTAATCTGACCCTTGGGTAGGATGGACAAGAGGAACTGTAGAAATAGAGTCACGTTACCACTGGTGTCATGATCTACAAAATCTAGCGGAGAATGAAGAAGCACTAGGAGCAAGCAATTATCCAGCAGATGGGGCTAAAGTGTCAGAGATATGATTACTGGTTTAATAGTAATAACTGTTTCTGGTAGTGCTAGATCTTGATTCCTGGGGAAAATGAAAAAATCCTACTAAGGACTGCCATTGTGTCTGTCATATAATCCAAATTAGGTAATAATGGGAGTTTATGGCTGGCTAATTCATGGCCAATTACTGGAACGGTACTATATATGCTGAATAAGCAAAGGGCAGTTTGGGAGATAAATATTAGAAAGAGGGATTGTAAGTCTTTAATTCCCTGATTTTTCTTCCATAAAATACGAATTTCCATCATTAGTCCAAAAACAAAAGGTTGTGTAAATTAAAAACAAACACGTGTGTTCCCTCTAACCCTTCTTCATCTTACAAGTAGACAGTCTCTCTCCCTACCGCTTTATATACATCATAAGTGCTGATAAAAATAGAAATTA